CCGGAAGGAGAAGCGGGACGGAGCCGCCCCGGCGCCGCGGGACGAGAGACAGCGGCGGGAGGGACCGGCCCCGGCTCTCCCGGGCAGTTCCTCCCGCTACCGAAGGGGGCCCGGGGACCCCCGCGCCACCAGCCCGTGACGCTGCGGGCTCCCCCCTGTCCCCCCCCCGCCCCCGGGCCACCGGGAGCAGGAGTGGAGCCCGGGCACAGGCCCCCTCCGCGCTCCCGAGGTCAACGGCAGAAGCCGCCTGGGCTCCCCACGGGCTCTCGGTTCGAGGGGGGGCCGCTCGCCCCCGTGCCCCCCTCCGCTCCCGCCGGTCCCCGCCGGTCCCGGCCCTGCCCCGAGATCCCGGGGCTCAGTGCGAAGTCGGGGACGGCTCCGGGCCGGGCATGTGCCACGGCGGCGAACCCCCTTTCTGCCCATTTGACCCCAAACCCACCTTTCGGCCGCCGCATCTCCGCTCCCCCCGCCGGGACTCCTGCGATGAGCTCCTCGGGGCTCAGCGAGTCGCCGCGGGGCTGAGTGCCCGGCCCCCCCATCGTTTCTCGCCGTGCGGGGGGTTTCCACGGCTGCGAGCTTTGCAACGAAACCGAGGGGCTACTGCCCTTCCCGCGGCCGCGCGTGGGGGCTGCGGGGCGAACACGCGTGTCCGAGCGCGGCTGAGCCGCGGCCGGCGGGGGGGCGGGAGGGACCTGGCTCCAACCCAACCGCCGGTACGGTTCATCCCCACGCCGCTGCCGGGCTCTTCCCCGCGGCTTCCCGTGCGCTCCGGAGTCCGTGCTGCTCCACCCCACGGATACCCACGCCCGGGACGACTGGGATCCAGCCCAGCTCCCGGTCCGGCCCGCTTCCCCCGGAGACCGAGGCTACGGTAGCCGGTCGGAGACCCGGCTACGCCACGGTTCCTCTCTCCCTTGTCCCCTTCTGCGTGTCCCGAGCGTGGCCCCAGCGCTGAGACCACGCGGGGAACGGGGGGCAGAGCAAGTCGCCCCCTCATCACAGCCCCCAGCGCCTGCGGGACCCGAACCGACCTCGCGGCCGGGCCGGACCTTGTGTCCCGGGACAGGAGTCCCGCAGCCCGTGGGTACCGGCGGGTAGGATAGAGAGCGACCCGGAGCCGCATTCCACGCGAGCTTCTTGCGTGCGTGGACAGCCCCCCCCCGCAACCCTCGGGGCGGCCGGTCCTGGGTTCCCGACCCTCCCCGCCGCCCGGTTCGGCTCTGGGTTTATCCCGTCCCGGTCCCGTTCCAGAGCCGGACTTAAAAACGATTCCTTCCACCGGCGGGTGAACGGAGCCGGGACGAGCCTCGGGGCTAATTGGCGCTCCCCCGGGCCGGTGCCGGGCTGTCCCGGCGGGGCGGGAGCGGACCCGGGGACCCCGCGACACCGCCAGCCCCCGCCGCCCCCCGGCTCTGCCCCGGGTTGGGGGGCAGCCCGGCCGCCGAACCGCCGCCTTTTCGTTTCCGAGCGGCTCGGGGGCGAAGCGGGGAGACAGCGACCGGCTCCGGTCTGCCGCACCGGCACCCACGCGGGAGGGGGCGGCCGGGGCAGAACCCGGGACCGAGAGTGGGCTCGGAGACGGGGCCGTGCACGGGGCTGCGGTCACACGTGCCACGCGGGAGGGGGCGGCCGGGGCAGAACCGGCTCCCCCGGGACCGAGAGTGGGCTCGGAGACGGGGCCGTGCACGGGGCTGCGGTCACACGTGGGGTCGCTGCAGGCGGGACCGAGCCACCCGCGTTTCCCACCTCATCCGAGGGAAACGGGCACCCCGACCCCCGGCACCCCCCCAGTGCCGTCGGGGGTGGCCGCGGTCCGGAGCGCGGGGATACCCGCTGCGTGGACCGGAGATCTCGGGGGGCGCCTGGTCAGCGGTGTCCCCGCGGGGTCTCTTTTTCCCACTCCCACCAGGAATTCCCGTGCGAGGAAGTTTTCGTGTCGACGTGTTTGACATCGAATTTACGCCCGGGCAGGGCTGTGCCGGCGGCTCCGACCCCCACGGCCGGCGGGGGCGCAGACAAAGTGCCCCGGTGGGCACGGCTCAAGCCCGGCGGACCCCGGGAGGGCACCGGGCCCGGCTGCTGCCCCTTCCCCTGGCACCGGCGGGGCTGGCGGGGCCGCGGAAGGGAGCGGACACGGGGAGGGGGCAGCGAGAACGGGGGGTGCGGGCAGGGAGTGCCGGGCGGGCGGCTGGGACAGGCAGCACCGGGGGGGGGGCTCCCCCCGGGCGGAGAGTTCCCCTCGGGACGGCCGCCAGTGACCGGTCTGCGCGGGTGCGGAGCGGTCCGCTCTTCTCCCCCCCGTCCCCTCCCGCCGTGGTGCGGTCCCACCGCCGCCCTCCGCCCGTCCCGGAGCCTTCCATCGTCTTCCTCCAGCCGAGCCCCCCCCGGGGGTTGCCCGGTGCCCGGTGCCCGGCGCTGCCCTCACTCTGCCGGGGCCCGGGATGGAGCTGCCGCGACAGGACGCGGTGCCCTGCGGGACACGCTCCGTGGAGCCTCCGAGTCGGAACATCCCCCCCGGGCTGTGCGGGCCGGACCACGCCGAGCACCCGGGCTCGGGTCGGGGCAGTGGGGTCAGGACCGCTTCTCTCCGTCCCGTTGGTCGTTATCCCCCCGTTACCGCCGACCAGACGGCGAAAGGACCATCCCGGG